AAGACACCTGAGAAAAGAAACCCAAGAAGGAGGGTGTGTTCTTGCTCAGACTTTGATTGCTATAAGCCAGAAGAATGTAGTAAGAATTCAGCTGAATATGGTAAAGCTATACCTAGAAGAATTAGGGAATTCTTCCAGAGGAACCCAAATCTCAAGGAGTATTTGGTGTTATTGGGCTTTTAATATATCAGTTGTTTCCTGCAATGAATTTCTTGTGTGCTCTCACACCTTCCCCAAGCACTTCTAACAGTGTATTTTATCTGATATACTTCCCTAGCACCCAAAGCCAAAAGGCTGACAGGACAAAGCATTTTCGACGATTCAATGAGTCTCCTGAACTGAGGTAAACACCCTTATGGAGACACTGGACTGTGTTATAATGCTGTAGCACTCAGATTCAATAGATTATAAATATTTGTCATCATTGAAAAGGGTTGGTTATAAATTATTATTGATTAAAAAACTACTGCTAGTTAAAGATGCTTCACATTGGTACAATGTTGATACAGAGTTATTCTTGTTATGGTATATGCATGAATTTCTGTTCTTGTATAAAACATTGCAGCTTTACATTGTATCCTACACTACTGAGGGAAATCACAAGAAAGACTTTGGTAAGAGATTCTATGTTTAAAAAAGGAAGAGGGAAATTTGTCTGAAGTAAATGCCTAAATGGACTGAGAAAACATGGGAGGTTATAGAAGGTCAGGGTGTATGCTGTAAATTTGGAAGATTGTAGAAGATCACAGGGAATGTCAGCTATGTCTGTTGTGGTTTCTTATACCTGTAAACACTGAATTTAAAAGTTAATTATGGTTGGTTTCCATGTTAAAATTAGCTGATGATTCTCCAAACTGTTTATGTTAAAAATGGATATATATATGTGTGTGTGTGTGTGTGTGTGTGTGTGTGTGTGTCTGTACATATATGTGACTTATTTAACTGTATGTGTAAATGTAAGCTAGCTTTAACTGTACTGATGTGTATGTAACTTGGATACAACTGTGCATATATGTGTAAGCAATTATTATTTGGAAAAACATGTCTTAAACAGCAACCTTATGGCTTTCCTCCATGTTGTCTGGTGACCTCATAGGCAGCCAAGTGCCTGGCAGCCATCTTTTACTAAAGGTTATAAAGCTCTATTCAAGTTAACAAAAAGCTAAATTAGAGACTTACACCTGAGTACTTATGTTTTTGCTAAGTGTTCAACAGTAAGCTTCCAGAGAATTTAAATAGATGGCTACATATGTTTAATAAATAAGGTATTTAATAAGTATTAAAACTGTACCTCAATGCTTTTATACACAAGAATATACCTTGCTCTGGCAGCAAAACTGTGTAATTTAAGATTTACTCATATAATCAGCTGATAATGGTTTTCAAGACATGAAGGGATCATAGGGAAGAGCTGGGGTTTACAAATGTATGGCAGGGCTAGAGTTCCAAAGAGAGTCCAGTTTTAAAAATGCCAGTGCTGATCCCTGTGTGTTGGGCGCCCCGCAGGCGTGCACTTTGTCACCTGGAGTGGAGCAGGGCAGAGCTGGCAGGACTGCACAGGGTGCTAGGCTCGGCGCCACACCCCTAGGAGCTCCCACCCCAGGCAGACCGCCTGGTTCTCCCTGAGAATCTCATCTTGGCAGAAACTTTCCCTGCTGTCCCCCGCGCCATGGCGAGTTGCTCAGCTGACCGCAGGCCGGAAGGGCGGCCATCCTTGGCCCTGGAGACGCCCTTCCGGAAGCGTGCAGCCCTGCCCTCGGGGACCTCGGTCCAGCAGGGACCAGGCGGAGGATCCCTACAGTACAGCCTGGCTTTCCTGGGCCGTCTGTGCTTCCTGGAGTTCCATGGAAAATGGAAGGCCTCCCGATCCTGCAGACTGGGCGGTGATGGACGTCGTCAATTATTTCCGAACAGCAGGATTTGAGGAGCAAGCTTTTCAGGAACAGGAAATTGATGGAAAATCCCTGCTCTTGATGAGGAGAAATGATGTGCTGACAGGGCTGCAGTTGAAACTGGGGCCTGCTCTGAAAATCTATGAGTATCATGTAAAACCTCTTCAGACCAAGCATTTAAAGAACAGCTCTTCCTAGTAAAGTGAAATCGAGGTCTCAGTCCTCAGAACAGGATTCACAGTGATGTAATTTAGTTTCGTGTTGTGAGACTTCACAAACAGAATACAGACGTGTATACGTAAAGAATTTCGATCCAACAAAGTGTTATCCTACTGGATAGTCTAGGCAATCCGTTGGCTGGCCTGACTCAGCCTGGAGGAGCAAAGACAGAATGGACACGAGATGGTTGCCCTTGTCACACCAATTTGTCATTGACTCTTAGGTACCCCTCCCCTCAGGGGCTTTGAAATCACAGAATTTTCTTTGTTTCAGCATAGATTGTTTTCCGTCAACTCCTTAAAAGGGAGGATGGATGTGGAATGAGTGGTCTGGGTTATAGACTTAGAAATGAGTACAAACAGAACTCCATGGGAAGGGAGACGAGTGAGGGAGTGCTGTCTCCCATAAA